AAAAGCCATCCAAGTTTGGAATAAAGAAGTAATACTGTCATTATTCAGCAAGGACATGATTCTTTATATAGAAAACCCTAAAGACTCCATGAAATATTAGAAACAATAAACAAATAAAGTTACAGTATTTCAAACCAATGTGCAAAAATCTGTTGCATTACTATACACTAAAATGAAACATCAGAAAGAGAAATGAAGAAAGCAATCCCATTTACAACCACAACAAAACCTAAAATATCTAGTAATAAACTTCACAAAAGAAGTGAAGGACCTATACACTGAAAACTACAACACATTGTTGAAAGAAATTGAGGAAAATATAAAGAAATGGAAAGATAGTCCATGTTCATGTATTGGTAGAATTAACATTATTAAAATGGCCATATTATCTAAAGAAATATACAGATTTAATGCAACCTTATGAAACTCCCAATGGCATTTTTCACAGAAATAGAAAAAGATTCTCAAATTTGTATGGGGCCACAAAAGACCCCAAATAGCTGTATCAATCCTGAGAAAAAAAGAACAGAGCCAGAAATATCACATTGTCTGACTTCAAAGTATGTGTACACTACAAAGCTACAGTAATCAAAACAGTATGACATTAGCAGAAGAACAGAAACACAGATCACTATAACAGAACTGAGAGCCCAGAAGTAAACCCGTACATATGTGAGCAACTAATTTTCATCCAAGGTGCCAAAAACATACAATGGAGAAAGAAAAGGTTCTTCAATAAATGGTGCTGGGAGAATTGAAAAGGCACATGCAAAATAATGAAACTAGTCTTCTGACACCACACATAAATATTAACTTAAAATGGGATAAAGACTTAACATGAGACCTGAAACAATAAAATACATAGAAGAAAGCATAGGCACTAAACTTAGGTTCTCTGGTGTCAGAGTGCGTTTTTGTGAACTTGACCCCAAAGGGAAGGGATGAAAAAACAAAGCTAAACAAATGGCAGTAGATCAAACTAAAAAGGTTCTACACAGCAAAAGAAGCCATCAACAAAGCAAAAAGGCAACCAGCAAAATGGCAGAGGATATTTGCAAACAATACCTCTGACAAGGGACTAATATCCAAAATACATAAAGAAAGGCAAGGACCTACACATCCAATATTACTCTATCAAGCAAAGCTATCATTTTGAATGGAAGGGCAGATAAAGTGCTTCTCAGATAAGGTCAACTTAAAGGAGTTCATCATCACCCAGCCCTTATTACATGAAAAGTTAAAGGGACTTATCTAAGAAAAAGAAGATAAAAAATATGAAGAGTAAAATGACAGCAAACTCACAGTTATTAACAACCACACCTAAAACAAAAACAAAAACAAAGCAAACAACTAGAACAGGAACAGAATCACAGAAATGGAGACCACATAGAGGGTTATTACTGGGGAATGGGAGGGAGAGAAAGGGGGAGAAGGTACAGAGAATAAGTAGCATAAATGGTAGGTAGAAAATAGACAGGGGGAGGGCAAGAATAGTATAGGAAATGGAGAAGCCAAAGAACTTATATGTATAACCCATGGACATGAACTAAGGGGGGGATGCTAGTGGGAGGGGGTGTGCAGGGTGGAGGGGAATAAAGGGGGGAAACAGGACAACTGTAATAGCATAATCAATAACATATTTTTTAAAGAATATAACAACAACAAACAAACAATTTAATTAAAAATGGTCAGAGAACCAGAACAGACACTTTTCCAAGAAAGACACACAGATGGCCAACAGATATATGAAAAGATGCTCAACATCAATGGGTATAAAGGAAATGAAAATGAAAATCACAGTGAGATACTACTGCACACTTCTTAGAATTGCTATTATCAAAAAGACAGGTAATAACAAGTGTTGGAAAGGTTATGGAGAAAAAGGAACCCTCATTCACTGCTGATGGGAATGTAAACTGCTACAGCCATTTTGGAAAATGGTATGGAGGTTCCTCAAAAAATGAAGAATAGAACTACCAACATTCCCTCTTCTGGGTATCTACTTGAAAAGTTTGGTAACATTATTTGTAAAGATAATGTACCCCTATGTTCATCGCAGCATTATTCATAGTAGCTGAAATATGGAAACAACCAACGTGTTATTTGACTGATGTTTGAAAAAATACATGGTACATGTATACAGTGGAATTCTGGTCAGCCATAAAAAGATGAAATATTGCCATTTATGACAACATGGAAGGATCCTGAGAGCATTATTAAATGAAATAAGTCAGACAGGAAAGGACAAGAACTGTGTGATTTCACTCTTATGTGGGATATAAAACCAAAAGCAACAACAAAAAAAAGCAAAACAAATAAACAAATGGATACAGACAACAGTATGGTGGTTCCCAGAACGGAAGGGGTTTGGAGGAAGGGTGAAGAAGATAAAGGGGGTCAAATATATGGTGACAGAAGGAAACTAGAATTTGGGTGGTAAGCACACAATAGAAGGAAATCGTGCTATTTGAAACAACATGGATGTACCTTGGTCATATTATGCTAAGGCAGATAAACCAGATAGATAAGGACAAATACTATATCATATCTCTTATATGTGGAATCTAAAAAAAACCCTGAAATCTTTAAAAAATTGTATTGAATTTATCAGGACTACATTGATTAATAAAATTATATAGGGTTCAGGTATATAAATCTATAATACATCGTCTGTACATTTTATTGTGTTCACCACCAAAATCAAGTCTCCTTCCACACCATTTCTCCTTCTTTACCCTCTTCTACCTCCCTCACCCCCCTTTTCCTTTGGCCATCACAACACTTGTCTGTGTCTGTGATTTTTTTCTTAGTCCCTTCATGGGCCTGCAGAGTCTTATAAGTGAAATAAGCCAATCAGAGAATGACAAATACTTTATAATTTCAATTATATGTGGAGTCTAATGAACAAAATAAACTACCAAAGAAAAAGGAAAGAGACATAACATTCAGAGAACAAAGTGACATCTGTCAGAGGGAAAACACCTGAAATCTTAAAAGCAGAGAGTAAAATGATGGCTACTGGGGAATAGGGGTTGAGAGAATGAGAGAGATGTTGTTTAAGGGTACATACCTACAACCAGTAGATAAATAAGTCCCAGAGATCTAATACACTGTACAATGATTATAGACAACAAAACTGTAGTATAAACACTAAACTTGCTAAGAGAGTAGACCTTAATCGTTTCCAACACTAGAAGAAATTATAATTATGTGATATAATAGAAGTTGTAGCTAATGCTACAATGGCAATCGTATTGCAATTATAAATATATGGAAACAACATATTCGCACCTTAAACTTACTCAATGTTGCATGTCAAATATATCTTAATAAAAAGTGTCAAAAAGTGGTAACTATGTGAGGTGGTAGATGTGTTAACCAGTTTGATTGTGGTAATCATTTCACATAAACATTGCAGTATATATATAGCAAATCATCACACTATACATTTTAATTATATACAATTTTTATTTGTGAATCATATCTTGATAAAGCTGAAAAAACATATTTTAATTATCCATGTCAGTACCTTAGGGCTCAAATAATTAATTGGGCTATTAAAATATTACAACTGTAATGAGTCTGCATTTCATTATATCATCAATTTAGTAATACAACCATGAAGTTAACTTAATGTAAAAAAACAAAACACAACAAAGCTCTTTCACCCTCTGGAAATTTACTGTGTATATAACCATGAATAAAGAATAGAGAAAACCTTGTTGAAATCCTTGTTCCCATACTGCAGTCATACAGAATGTGAATCAATGACGGGTCTCAGCAAAATTGCAAATTTCTTCCTGTCATAGACATTTGAAAATCATTAAACAGTGAGTATCAAATCCATAAATGTCAAAAGCTTGCTGTACTTCTATTTTTGCACTTGCACTTGTGTCACTGAACAACTATTGCACTAATGAGAACATGAGCTTCTTGGGGATAGGGCCTCTGTTTTGTCACTCCTTTTCTACTAAATTCCGCCTAACACAAAGCAACCAGTGCAAAAACATTTGTGGAATTAATTTGCTTCCCAAATTGGTCTCCCTGCTTTCAGGCCATCCTCCTCTCTGAAATTCTGCCAGTTCTTTTACAAAAATACATCTCTGATAATGTAATTCCATGGTCCTCAAATCTTTAATGGTTGTTCATAATCTGTTTTACAGGATTTTGTGCACACGCCCTGTGTGGGCGGGCATATAAAGACCTTCAAACCCTGCCCTCAGTCTATATTCTCAGTCTTACAATCAGGCTCTTCACACACCCTCTTCTCAAGCCATACTAGGTATCCCTCCAGCATATTGGATTTTTATTACTCTGTACCCCTGCAAATGCTGTTTCGTCTGCTTAAAGCTCCTCCACTCTCATCTGCCTGACACACTCTTATTAACTATTAAAGCTCAGCCTAATATCACTACCTTTGTGGTTTTTCCTGACCCATCACTGAATTAATATCTTCCCCATGTGTTTTTTCTACATCAATTGTTTATTTATTCTGAAAAAATGGACTAATTTAACTCAGGGGGAAGGGAAGAAGAGAAGGAAGAAGGAAGCGCCCTGTCAATGGACTTACTCACACAGGGACTGCAGGATTACGTGTTAAGCATATTGTTCAAGCAACAGTGGGAGGATGAAGCTGAGTGACCTTTAAGTCATGAGATATTAAAGGTGCATCTTTGATACTTTGTGTATGTATTATCATGTGTGTTGGGGTCAGAGTGCAAAGAGAATGAGAAAGAAACAGAACTCAGAGGAGATGAGCGTGGACTCGGTGCAGTAAGAGCAGATGGGCAGACCCAAATTTCTTCTGCTTTACAGTTTTGCAGAGGTCTAGCCCTGCATCTAGCGCTGTAGCGGTGGGTGGGAGAGGAGAAAAGGGGAGGGCCAGTGCTCTCTCTGAGCGTGCCCAGGCTCCACTGCCTGACGGGATCACCTTCCGCTCCCAAACGGCCGGTTCCTATTCGCCGTGACTCATGCTTATTGTGCCAGCCTGGGCGCACTCTGCCCTGCAGCCCCACAGGTGGTGTTAGCTCGGTGCGAAGGTTCCAGCCAGGGTAGGCAGTGGAGTGCCGCGCAACGTGCTTTCCTGCCTCCCAGCTGCGGCCCCAACAGTTCCGACCCAGCGCCTGCAGGCCTGCTCGGTCGATCTTCGAGCTGAAGATGCGGCGGGGCTGGAAGATGGCTCTGTCCGCGGCGCTGCGGTGCTGCCGCCGGGTACTTTCTTGGGTGCCAGTGCTTGTTATCGTCCTCGTCGTGCTCTGGTCTTATTATGCCTACGTCTTTGAACTCTGCTTGGGTAAGTGGAGCCGGGCACGTAAGGTAGGGAATTATGCTCCAGCATTACCGTCTGCCCTACCCTTCACGGTGGTGTTCCTTGTGCTCTTCGCCCTCACACTGCGGTGTTTCTTTACTTCCCTAGAGAGCCGCCCCCCCCCCCCACCAGCTGCTGGTTTCCCACAGTATTTCTTGCACCCTCCCACGAGGATCCCATCTTGCCTCCATCGCTTCTCACCTAGGGTTTCTTACATTATTTCTTGGCCTTGCTCACAAGAAATTCCTTGCTCTTCCCACTAGGGCTCCCTTTTCTCATACCGGACAAACACTTGTGCCTTGTGTTTTCGTTCTGGGGTCTCCCGCCCTGCCAAAGTGAGGAAACAGCATATCCCCTATCCTTAAACTGTCTACTTACATTATGAATCCCACCAATGCATTCAACTAGGAGCGTCACATTTCCCAAATCCTCTTCCTGGGAATCTCAAAAATATTTCCTGTATTATCTTACTAGCTCTCCTCTTTCCATCACAGGGATTTATCCTTTTCCCGTATCCGCTCACATTGTCTCAAGTGCTTCACATTTTCTCCCACTTGGGATCCCCCAGCACGCCTTGTTCTACCCCATCAGGGTTAATTAACCCTTTCACAAAGTGGTAAACCATCCATTCACTTGCCCTGTGGGCTTCACTATTTTTTTTTTTAATTTTCTCCACTGTAATGGGAGCCCTACAATATATACTACCTTGTCCCCTCACATTAGAGCCCCTAACTTTATCACACTAGGGTTCCCCTTTATCTCCTGCCTTACTGCTTTGAGGAGCATTCAGTACTTCCCTTAGAGGCTCCACATTATTTTCTGACACCTCATGCTGCACACTTTGCTTTTTATCACACTATGGCCCTGCCTTGTCCATTGTCTTCTCACACTAGAGTGTCCTCTTTACTCTCCCACAAGGGTTCTCACAATATCTCCTATACTCCTTCCAAGGGCCACTACTTCTCTAATGTTGATCCGCCCTTTAACTTTTTTGAAATCTACTCCGCACCTCCTCAACTCCTCTTCCACAGGTAGCCCCACATTTGCCATCCTCTTTCTCTGAGACTCTTCCTATTATTTTTCTCTTACTTTCCCCTAGGATTGCACTTGTACACTGTCTTCTCAAACAAGAAAACCACCATCTGTTCCTTCCGAAATTTCTAATATTTCCTTTCCCTTTCATTGGGAACTTAGTTCTTGCCCCGCTTCATTAGACCCCCCATTTTTATAAATTCAAGGTGTCCTCTTGTACTCTGTCCTGTCACACTAGGGAGCTTTCCATCTTCTCCTTATCTATAAAAATGGTTCCCACAGTATATCCTATTCTTATAAACTCAAAATTCTACAATTTTCTAGACATAAGCCCTAAGACCCTAACCTGTGATTCTACTACTTGGATTACCCTAAAGTCCCTTATCTTTATCGCTAATGTCCTTATTTTATTGTGTCTCCTCAGAGCTAACCTTTGCTTTTCTCACAGGGAGATCTCCACTTGCCCCTATTGTCTCATATTGAGGAATTCCCACTTCTCCGAAATTCAACTAATACTTATTGTCACCTTAATGCTAGAATCCCATTTCTAACACCCTCAGACTTGTGCCTTATAATGTTCCCTATTCATTCAGTGTGAGCTCCCAGGATATTTCCTATCCTCTCACATTAGGACTCCTATTTGTCCTGTTGGACATTCCCTCCCAATTCCTTCCGGGACTGCTTTATTTCTGCATACCAGATTCCTCTCACCTTAAAAATTATGGTTAGGGTCCTGCTTTATTCCAACCCCAGGACTGACTCCACTTGTAACTCCTTTCACTTACATATTTGACAAAACAATAGTCCACTCCAGGTAGACTGGGGTTAACTAGGGAGGCAGCAGATAACCTTTTCCAATAGTGTATTTTCTTCTAATCAGTTTTGTGCATCAGAGTTTAAAATGTTCTCATCACCTTAGATTTATTGTGGAAAATGCTGAAACAATTATTAAAATTAAAGACAATTAGTTGCCTTCACAGGTACAAATTTTTGCTTTGTTCTTTTTTTGTCTAAATATGATATTGGGGTTCATTAAGTGGGCTGTGCAATGACTAGAAGTTTTTCTATTCTTAGACCTCCCCATCTTGCTTTTTTGAAGGATTGAATAAAGGGTTAAAAGTTCAGCTCCATTATTATGGCATGGACTTTGTGTCTAAGTTCAATGCCATATTGTAAATACTGTTACACATATTTTGGAATGTTTCAATACTGATCTACATGAGCTTTGCAAAGAAATCATTTAAAAATTGACATGATTGTGGCTAACAGTTACATTGTGCTTAATCTGTGGCAGGCAATACTCTAAGCACTGTAGATTTATTACTCTCTCTATATTAACTTATTTAATCCTCACCATAATCAAACTGTCCCCACTGCACAAATGTGCAAACTAAGGCATAGATGAACAAAGTGAGGTAAAGACTAAGTTAGAACCAGTGCAAACAATCTATGTGTTAACTACCACAGTGCCTCCTTTCAACTAATACAGAGGTCAAAACTTATGACTCACAGGCCAAATGTAGGCTGCAGATGTATGTTATTTGGCCTGAACAATGTTTTCTTAACATTTTGCACCAGTTACTATTATTTAAAACACAAGAGAGGAAGGTAGCCTACACTTCCAATTCTGGCTCTACCAGTCTATCCTGTCATTTTAACATTTTACAATCTTTAACAAATTAAAGACCTGGATTTCAGAAAGATCAAATTACATTTTCTTAGTCACATGTTTAGTAACTTAATGGACAATTGGATGTCAAGGCTGCCTGATATAAAGGCAATATAACCAAATTAACAGATTTGAGTTTCAGTATGTCTCAAAAAGTAATATTAAGGACTTCTTTCCAGAAATAGAATCTGATGTCTTCTTCTCTAATGTGCGGTTAGAGCTGAAGTCAAAAAAGGGGGTATTTTTGTCTTAGAGTGTGAATTCTGCCATTTATTAACTAGAAGACCTGCAGAAAGTTAAGAACATTCTCAGCCTCCCATGCCTCACGTAAACCTTAATTGTATGCTTGTTCGTTCATACCACAGAACTTGCTTAGCATCTACTATATGCTTTATAACATTGTTATTGTGAGATTATAAATAATGTAGTGTGTGAAAAACCTGCATCACATTTGATAACACATTGTATGAGCTTATTAAATAGTAACTAGTTACTATTTGTTTTATTTTATTTTACTTTATTTTAATTGTTGTTCAAGTACAGTTTTTTGCCCTTTACCCTCATCCCAGCCCACCCCCCAGCCCTCCCCACCTCCCTCCAGAGTAACTTGTTACTGTTATTAATGAGGATATAAGGGATTCTGCTCAGCTAAAGAAAATAAGCAGCTTAGACTTTTAGGCAGGGAGAAAATTAAGAAATTCACTTTTTTAGGTAAAATTCTCAAGATAAAAATAATTTCAAAGTGTTCAATTCAGTGACCTTTAGTATATTCACAATGTTGCACACCATAACTAATATCTAGTTTCAAAACATTTAGTCACTCCAAAAGGAAACCTCATTGTCATTAAATAGTCACTCCCCATTTCCTTCTACCCCCAGTGTCTACCGATCACTAATCTGTGTTTTGTCACTATGGATTTACTTACCTACTCTAGATGTTTCACATAAATGGCATGATACAACACAAAGTGGGGCAAAACTAGGTTTACAATAGTTCATATGGAAAATAATATAATAATAAATAATATAAGAATAAACTCTGTGTTCTGCATACTCACAACTATGAACCTACGTTTGCCCCACTCTGTATGTGTGCATTTGTGTCTGGATTGTTTCAATTAGTATAATATTTTTAAGGTCCATCCACAATGTAGTATCTAACAGTACTTCATTCATTTTTATGGCTGAATAATATCCAATTTTATGTACATACATTACTTTATCCATTCATTAATTGATAGACATTTGGGTTGTTTCCACCTTTTATGTATTTTGAACAGTGCTGCTATGAACAAATATTTGTTTGAATACTTGTTTTCAATTCTTTTGAGTAAATATCAGGGAGTGGGTAGAAATTGCTGGGCTGTATTCTATGTTAAACTTTTTAAGAAATCTCCAAAATAATTTCCACAGTGGTTACATAATTTGACATTCCTACCTGTAATATAGGAGTGTTCTATTTTCTCCACATCCTCACTAACACTTGTTTTCCATTTTTATTACAGATATCATAGAGGGTGTGGAGCACCTTGTGATTTTTATTTGTATTTCCGTGATGATTAGTGGTGTTGAGTGTCTTCTCATGCGCTTGTTGGCCATTTGTATATCTTCTTTTAAGAAATGCCTCTTCTTTTAAGAAATGCCTATCTGTCATTTTTGACAACCAAAAAATTGGGTTATCTGTCTTTTTGTTTAGTAAGATTTCTTTGTATATTCTTTATATTTGACTCCTATCAGATAAATAATTTACAAATACTTTCTCCCATTCCATGAGTTGCCTTTTCACTTTTTTTATAGTATTGCTTGATGAATGCACAATTTTTAATTTTGATAAAATTCAGTTTATCTATGTCTTTTTTGTAACCTATGCTTTTGGGGCATATCTAAGAGTCCATTGCCAAATGCAGGGTCATAGAGTTATCCCTGTGTTTTCTCCTAAGAGTTGTATAGTGCTGGCTCTTACATTTGAGTCTTTGATCTGTTGAGTCGATTTTTCTATATGGCATGTGGTATGAGTCCAACTTCATTCTTTTGGATGTGGCTATGCAGTTTTTCCAGTATCATTTGTGGAAGAGGCTATTCTTTCTCCATTAAGTGGTCCTGATGTGATTGTCAAAGATCAATTGACCATAGGTATATGGATTTATTTCTGATCTCTTAAATCTGTCCCATTGATCCATTGTCTATCTTTCAGCAAGTACTACAGTGTTGAGTACTGTACCTTTGTAATAAATTTTGAAATCAAGAAGTGTGATTTTTACAACTTTATTTTTCTTTGTTAAGA